TGAGGGGGCGGAGGGCAAGGGTGAGGGGGCGGAGGGCAAGGGGCGGAGGGCAGAAGAAACGTGAGGGCCGAGGACAAGTGTGAGAGTAGGAGTGCGAGTGAGAGTGATGGCGTGGGCCAGGAGGTAGAGGCGCTGTGCGCTCGACCATCGCTGCTCGGGGCGCTAAGCCAATTGGCGCCTTTCTTTGGAACTGGGCGTGCGCGACCAATGATCGGCGCGGGGACGGTCGTCGGTGGCAAAAGTCTTTCAGGGCACGACGCGACGCGACGCGACGCGACGCGCCGCGCCGCTTGGGCAACAGCGAGGCCCGCTCGTCCATCATTCGAGAGGATTACGTCGACTTCGCGATTCTCCATTCCGTTCATTCGCATTTTCCGAACTCAAGTCGGTCGCTGCTGCCAAATACATTTGAGTTGTTCAGGTAACTGGCCAAAGGCCAGTATCTTGTTTTGTAGGTGCCTATGCTCGCGTAATGGACGAGCAGACGGATTCCGGTCGAGGTACGAGCTCTTGTCCACATTCCTGTCTTTTCCAAACGCAAAAACCTTAAGCAAGCTCTGCGTACTTTTTAGTATCGAACCTTCCCGGAACTTCGAAATGGAGGTCTCTAAGCCAAGATACACTTCACTCAGGGTTTGTGAATCTCAACGTCTAGGACTCGGCCCAAAATATCTATATCAGATACAATAAAATGCCTTGCAGTACGACATGCATTAAATTTGAAAATTAATATTGAATAAATATCATTACTATTACATATTGTTTAACATTTACCATCACATTATCTTCAAATAATGGTCACAGATATAAACCACGAAACAAACTTCTACTTAATAAATATTTTTGAATGATGTTAACCTTCCTTTTAAATGTACACTGCAAAGAAATGTCAATTACAAATGCCACGATTAATACTCATTCTTTATCAATTCAGTAACATAGTATTTAATAGGCAATATTCCAGAAACACAGATATGACTGTCGTTATAATTTCTCCGTTGCTACGCTACAACATATCCTGCCAGGTTCTAAACTCGCCGAGTAGATTTTTCAAGGCGAACCCACTAACGACGCTAACTCACAAAGCAAAGACGACAGCGACAATATCAAGCACAGATACGTTTATATAATAATAGCAACTCGCAAACAACTCTTCTCTCAAACAGCTTGTTGTGGACCCTGACAGCAGAGGTTTTTTTTCCCGCCCCAGTCGTCGTCCTCTTCGTGAATCTGAATGAACGCGAACGTAACTTTCCCAAACAAAGCAGAACGGAGGAGCAACGCTCGGTATGAGAAACGGCGCGCTCTCGTGCCCCCCCTCCCCCACACACGTGCAACACAAAGCGCCGGATCGCGTGACGTAAGGCAAGCGGAGCTGCGTGGCGCAGTGTAACATCTCGCGGCCCTGTTTCTCTCGGCCCACCGCCGCAAGAAGCCAAAGGCGTCGCAGCACCCCTTCCTCTCCCCTTCCCCTCTTTCACGCTCGGTCCGCCCTGCGGCGGTATATCTGCCGCAACCGCCGCCGCCCTCGCCCGAAAAACGCGTCCGTCCCAGTTTTCGGAGCACCCGACACGACCACCGACAACACACAACGTTGGCGCACAAGAAGAGTGACATTTTAAAAACTGTCATTTCGCAGGACCGTTTTATTACGAGAGGAGCAATTTATTTCGCGCTCCGAAACCGTTTTACTCCAAAAAACGAAAACTACTGTTTGCGAACAACATGTTATTTTAATTAGTTAAATATACTACTTTTTGAACACATTGCTTCAGTTATCTCGAAAATGGGCGAGGTGGCTAAGCGCGTGTACCGACTCAGCGTTTCTGTCCGAACGGTTGCGGGTTCGAGTCCTGCTTCGGGCATGGTTATTTGTCCCTTGCCTCTCAGGTTCCGCGTTCTGATTACCCTACACCAGAGGAGTCCGCAAGGGTGTTGGTGTCTAGTGTTTGGTCGAATATGCGTCTCGTCAGGACGTATAGGGTAACCGGCTGTTGGCTGGATGAAAACCGACAAAGAAATATGCGTCACTTTTCTTGTACATCGAGGAATGAGTTGACTTTTAGTAGTATTTCGTAGCTACCTGGCTGAAGTTCACTTCTTTCTTAACTTTAGACGTAAAAACACACATTTTTACTTTTTCGCAAGCTACTAATGTAGTATTCAACTAAGTATTGTAATGTTGCAACAACAGAATGGCGATTTTTTCGACAGAAAAACTGATTTTGAGGATGGACTAATATGGAAAAAGTGAAAAATTCTTATTAGATTTAGACGTAGTCCTTCCTCCTGAATTCATGAGAACAGAATACACTTACTTCTTTGCAACCAGCTGTGCGTTACGTTTAAAATAATTAAATGTGCAAAGTTAATTAGGTCCATTGTATCATATTCTTAGAAGTTCACTCCTACTTAGATACTAGTTAGAATACTCCTTGATGAATATATTTTATATCGGGTTTTTGCTTACGAACATTTTTCAGATGAGCAATGGAAATTATATTATGGAAATAATAGGCAATAACTACGAAGTATAATAAGAACCCAACGGGGCTCGCAATTTTCCGCTGAAAGAATGCCACCTGGTTTACAAGACGTTGCACCCTGATTTATAACCCAGCGAACGGGAATCTCTTTGAATAGTGATTTAAATGCAACGGAAGAACTTCAGCACTCGAGCGACGTCTCGAAAGAGAAAAAAACACACACACAAAACAACAACAACAACAACAACAACAACAACAACAACAAGCAGTTCTGCACCCGGCGGGAGCTCCCAGCGCGTTCAACCCGGCTGCCGCAGCCGGGCAGGCGACTCGAAATGCGCGCGCAGCAGAAGCAGCGCGGCTCACGATTCAGAGCGGAAACGGCGCAAGGCCGCCCGCCGACGCGGGCACGGCCTCCTGGGTTTATCAACCCTTTCCGGCCAGCTTTCCTCCAGATACCTTCGGCACGGGAAACGTTTTCACGGCAGGATGCGGCGATAGAAGCGCTAGGTCCCCTTCGGGCAATGGTCGCTGGTTGCTTCGGGCTGGCCTCTTCTTTTGTCACACGAGTTTCTCCTCTTCCATCCGACTTTTACGAGTAAAACAGCTCCGAGTATTTCAAAATGATTATAGTTATGTACCGATTTTATCCACTAACATTGATACGAACAGGAAGTTACAAAGTACCTGTTTTTGCAATTCATCGAGATGAAAGAGGCAAATATTTATCTTGACCTACATTTCGAAATTAAATCACAGAACATAATACAAAGAACAATTTCTCCACTTCTACCTTCTTGTTACAAGGCTACTAGTTACTGTGGGATATTCATAAACATTTTTTTAATTTACGTTTCTCGTGCAATAAACTAGAAATGTATCGACTGATTCGATGATCTGGTAGAAAATTAGTTCAATAATGATGCATTCTTATTCACGTTTGTCTCTTACTTCTCCGCACATATTCGAAAATATTCTTGCATTCGGGTACTCCATTTATTTTTTAGGCAAGTTCAATTAGTTTAGCCGATGAACATGACTAAATAGGTAGCCAGGTCGCCAAGGACAGTGTCCAGGATAACTTTTGACTAAATTTAAAAAACTGACGAAAAGGCGTACTGAATGAGGTCTTACATAATTCTTATTTTCACTACTTATAAGCTGTCATCTGATATCAATACATACATTTATAGTCTTGAAAGAGAAATACTGATTAATTCACCAAATAAAGTGGCGTTTGAGCAACTTTCAATGAACAAACGCGTTAATGAACAAATCCTTGATTAATAAAGTAACTTTCCGAAAACCATCGCTTGGCGATGAGTGAGCGTGAACTCCACAGTCCGCACTGAAAAAAAAAATCCCACGGGCATCAACGACTGCGGCTTCGGCAAGAGTGTTTTCGAACGCAGGAGACTGAAGGAGCCGAAGCTCCTTGGTATAGAAAGGTTACATTAAGAAGGGACCGCTTTGACAACAACTGCTTGGCCGTTGCTGGCAACAACTGCAGGTAATGTCCATGCATTGGTTTTGTCAATGTATTCGTTTACCACTTGCTCTTTTGTTATTGGCTTCATCATTCACTCTCACAATGTCATCGCCCTGCATGACCTTCATTTGTTTCCCGACCTGTCAAAGTGGTCCCTTCTTAGACTAACTCCTCTAAGACACCGCTGGCCATATCCGCCATCTCGAACCCATCATCATTCTAAAAGGCATAAAAGTGCCTTGTGGCTGCCGCCATGACGTTCTGGCGTCCGCTGTCCTCTTCATCTCTGTATAGTTTCTGAAGTGTAGTTCGGTTTGAAGCTGTTCTAAAATTTTCATTTTAGGTCTCCCTCTTCCTCTTCTCCTTTTTCCAAATATTTTACAGTCCAAAATTGTGCTTAAGACTTTATTATGGCTGAAAACATGTCCGAATAATTTTGGTTTCCTGTTTCCAATTGTTTTTAGTAGCGATCTCTTTTCCTTCACTTTTTCTAAAATTACATTATTATAACTTTTTCCTGTCGGTGAAACCTTCAATATTGTTCGGCACAACCACATCTCACAAGCGTTCAAACGACTCCTGTCCGTTTACTTAAAGTGCCCATTCTCCAACCCAGCAGGCGCCAAAGGCACGCCCCCCGGCCTGCAGGCGCTGGGCGAAGCAGGAGCGCGGGACCGAGAGGGAGGGGGACACGCATGTAGTGGGTGCGCGCGAGGCTTCTTCCGCCCCCGCCGAGCCGGTCGCGCGACCGCTGCGCGGGTGGGCTTCGCATGGTCATGGGGGAGGGGGGCGCCGCGGAATTCGCACAGGGGGAACCGGACACCGGAAGGCCACGGCATTTCACACACGAGGAGAACCTGCTTCTGCTAAATGAAAGGCTATTGCCAAGGAATATTCAAGACCAAAGTCAAATTTGCTCATTCGAGAATGACAGTATATGGGAGTTACTCTAAGAAGGGACCACTTTGACAGGTCGGGAAACAAATGAACGTCATGCAGGGCAATGGCATTACAAGAGATAGTGATGAAGTCATTTACAAATGAGCCAGTTGTAAACGAACGCACTGACAAAATGATTGCATGTACGTAACTCGCAGTTATGATATCGACAGTCACCAAGTAGTAGCTGTCGAAGCGGTCCCTTCTTAATCCCTCTATAGTAGTAGTTAAACCAACACGATAATTAGCGAGTAAACGTATCATCTAGTTGCAAGGTGGATGCGCGTTACGAACAGAAAGCTAAATGACACGTGCGTGATAACGAGTTCCCGACACGAAAATGGAACGTTCAAGGACAATTGTTGTTGGCAGGTAGCTTAAATACAGGCATGTGAGAGAACTTGTCTGGGAGAGGGGAGAGACAATGTTAGAGTGAGTCACACCGTATGAGTATTTGCGTGTACCTACACGTATGCCCGGGATGTGCATGCGTGAATGTGCAGGGGGTCGGAAATGCATAGGAAGACAATTTAAAAACAACACATATAGCCTGTATGACGTCAATCGCATGTAACTGCCGGGATAACGCGATCTTAGGACGAAATAAGAGCTTTTATGGGATCTTTAAAGTGTCTGGACAACCGAGAAGAGAAAGTTTGTATATAGGATCACAAATAGCTACAGCGTGAACCGTTAGCCAACTAATGGAGGAAAACTAAAGATTATGGAAGTTCATGGGGAAGAAAAGGAGCGAGCACTATATATTGAAGTAATTCATTTATAACACTACGAATATAGGTTTTCAATTTTTGTTGCAATAAAGAACAATTTGATGAATTATTTAATTAATTATTTAGCATAAAATCCTTCTGCAAACACTTAAAATAACATAACGAAAGTTTTCGCGTTACCTTGAAAGAAAATAAGAAGAATACGAATCATCTACGCAACCATATAAAGCTATACCGAGAGTACTATAAGAAGGGACCGCTTTGACAGCTGCTATTTGGCCGTTGCTGGAAACATAACTGCAGATGATCACTCATTTCGTCGATGCGATCGTTTATAGTCAGATCATTTGCAAATGGCTTCGTCACCATCTCTTGAAATGTCATCGCTCCGCGTCTCTTGTTTCCCGACCTTTCAAAATGGTCCCTTATTAGATAAACTCCTCTACAAACCCTCTTCAACACGATTATCTTTGATTTACAGCAATACATTGATCGAGCATGATTAAGTGCATTATTTTCTCCTTAGAAACGCGCTACGCAAAACCGCCGACCCAAGGTGCGCGGGGCTACCCCGCTCGCAGAAACCCCGAAAGGCGCCCGCCACACAGCTGGTGCCGTCCTCGGCAGGCAGCGAGCGGTCACCCGATACGGAGCGCTCTGGCTCGTTGGCACGCCTCCGATGACGCAGGCAAACGGGCGTCCGGCCGCACAACGAACTCTTACGTCACGAGCGCCCGCGCCCACGCCCGGTCCAGCCAACGGCAGCGCTGCACTACCGGACGAACCCGTGACCACAACGGGGAAGCAGGCAAGGGAGACGTCCAAATCGGTCGATTTTTTTGTTTTTTGATTTTTGATTTTTTTTTGTTTTTGTTTTTTTGTGTTCTTTGTCAAGCTGTCCAAAGCTGAAAAGGAATAATTTAAATTGTTTGAAGTCATCGCAACCGAGAATGGAACCCAGGTCTTGTGGTTTATGTCGCATTTCTGACCACTGTTCAACCGAGACGACCAATGCTTCGAATGGTTTCACAGGCCTAATATATTGCCTGGTTCATGATAATCGATTATCAGTCGACCCAACAAGGTGACGGTGTAGTGACACTATTAAAAAGAGTAATATTAACGTGCTAAATAATGGGTAACGATATTAGATTTTCATGGCGGCTATTCAAAAAGAAGTACTATTAAAGAAGTTGTAGACCTAAGTTGAAGTCTATTAAAGAAGTTTTAGAAAAACACGTTTGGCACCTTTCATGATTCTTGTTATTTGGGGAAGCACGCCATAATGCTTTTTAAAAATTGTATAGAGGGCGGTAAGGCGTAAGTTCTGGTACCTCAAGGGCTGTACGGGCCACTAGGCTTTTATCTTGAAAGCAATTGCAATCTAGAATAGACACAATGAACCAAGCTATGCCAAGCTACGATGGATGTTAAAGTGCAACGACATCTTCAAAAGCATTTAGCACCTCACATTAGCAATTCTGAATAAAAATTATGCCTTAACTCTGCGAAATACTTTTACCACTTCATATCGTTTAATAGAACGCATTATTTAATAAACTTTATTTTATTGTTAACAAAATTCACATGAATCTGGTGTTGATCCTTTGCATGGCAGCACTTTCTGTTGTCAATTGTTAGGGAGATGCAGAAGGGGATCTACTCTACGATGAAATTCTAGAACCACGAGGAAGTCGTTGAAATTTTGCTGTAGATAATTTCGCGATTATGCCCTTCAAAATATAGGCATTTAAAATATCTAGATGAAGAAACATGATGAAAATGCCTTTACTTCAAGCAATATTTACGCGAAAACGTGTTCATTTTTTCGAAAACATTACTATGAACAGATTTTATTAAAAGATCTATCTTACAATATTGTAGTTGTAGAAATACACTTACAAAAATTTCAAACGTCTGGAATTTTCTAAAATTCGTAATTCAACCTGTCGAAAAATTACACCTTCCGTTGCAGAATTACACTACTGCTATTACTTCAAGTACGTGACAGGCGAGAAAGTAAACAGAATAACATAACAGAATCATGTGTATTATTTTGGGAGATAAGAGGCTTTCAAACCCTAGTAGTAGTACTTCAATTACCATAAAAAAGAAATAAATATATACAATATGTACAAGTTAGACTTTGAACAATATAAAGGCGAGGTTTCCTTAATGGAAATAATAATAGTTTTCAAATGTTTTCACACACTAAGGACAGGCAACAAATTTGGGGATAAAGAATTCACTAGTCCTGTAGAGTCTAGTTTTTTTTCTAATGCACTCTTTAAAACTTAATTGTTAAATTTTACACCTCTTCGCCATTGTTAAACGACTATTATTTTAAAATAAGGGTCACGAAAAAATATATAATTAGTTCTTATATTTAAAAAAATAAAAATGTTGAAGACAGTGTACCTAACGCGTTCACTTGCATATTCCAGTTTAGCCACGAGTGGCCCAGAGAATTCGAATCCGGTGTGGAACTCTCTTTCACACTCGCTCAGTTACTTTCCGGAGGGAGGCAGGGCAAGTAATACTGGGGAGGTTTTCTACAGGGGAATGCGAGTCGTCTCTGCCCCATTTCTCCGGTACCACGGTCAACAACGATGAAGGAAAAAAAAAAATACCCGACGAGTTTTTCCAGTTAACGAGTCTTGCAACCTATATTCGACTTGGCATTTTCTTTCCACGGGGAATCTCTTCTGAGAAAATATCGGACCGCCACCTCGCACAGGGAGGGTGGAGGAGGGAGGAGAGAGGTGGGAGGCGGCAGAGGGCCCTCACAAACCGGCCCTGCCGCGGGCTGCGGAGCGGCCAGTCAAACGCCAGACGCAGCGGCGAGCGGACGGATGCTAATATTCGCGCCGAGGCCGACATCGGCAGAACACAGACGGATGGACAGATGGACGATATTTTATACTCCCAGAGGCCGACATCGACTGTCATTTCAGAGTCTCGAAATTCAATTTCTTACTTTCTCAAGATTTAAGATGCATTCGTAATTTTTCTCACAAGAGTCAGGTGTCATGTAATTTACTCATTTCATACGCAATGTTTCATTGCAATTTCATATGCAAGCAATACCAGGCAAAATAAATGTATAAGGATGGATACATCAGAATCATCATATTTAAGGTACTACACTTTAAATACTGCAACTAAATATAATAAAAGGCGAAGGTTATAATGCGAAATAATATTTTACGATGAAAGCGAAAACGCTGTATGTTCGCAAAGGACGTCCGTAAGTTAACATTTTACTCTCGTTATTTCTGTATAAGATTATTAAAAAGCGAAGAATGTAGAGAACTAACATTTGTTTTAATACAAAAAAATTTGAAAACTAAATAAAAATCGATACGCAATTATTCGCTTTTCAAAAAATCTGCGAAATTCTCGACGTGACATCGTTGTAGTTACCTAGGATGGAATACAGTAATTATCGCTCTTCTACTGCGTACCTTCTCCCATCTGCTGGAAGACTATTCACATTTGTAGGCTACTACGTCCCCGAGACCCACACTTCTGGGGAGAGCTGTTGAATTCTCTGATATCCAGACCATAATAATGTAGAATAGATATGGAGACAAGGCACCACATTATCTAATGTTGGCAATATACTTTACCCTGACGATACAATTTTATTAAAAAGCACAATAACGAAACCTTAAAAAGTAGAGGAATATTTTTCAATGTGATATTAAGGCATCCATTTAGTTATTTACCCTCTCTTTAACGAGCGTAGATAACAATTACTATGAAAGATACTCTCAGGTTTGTACCAATGCGCGAATGAGCCATGTGTGAACGCGCCATCGTGGGTACTCCCACAGAATTTTCTCCCATAAATGACATCCGAGTCAGCGCCAGGTATTCAAGTACGGTAGGAGCTCAAGTATCCAGGATTTTATTTTCACTCTCTGCAATGCACCGCTGAGCCGATGAAGCACCTCAAGTGACGGTGGTCTCATCGAGTACACGAAGGTGAGAACCCACGCGCGTTGGCCTCGACTTGCTATTCTGACTCTGAACTGTCGCTAAAAAGACCGACCTGGTTTGGCCGTTTTTAAACTCCATAGAATGGTTTTAACACTCGCGCTGGCAAACTAGATAGGGAATTTTGATTATTAATAAATTAAAACATTAACAACAAATCTTTGCGTTACAACTAACACAAGTTGCTGTTTATAAATCAACAATCGGAAAAGAACAGAGTATATTTTGCCGCCCCACTGTATCACTACGAAGGAAACAACAAATCTACTTCCTAAATTGGATTCAGACAAGCGATTTTGTTTTTGTTTTTGTTTTTAAAAAATATATTGATATTCTGGCACTCTTCTTACAGAGTAATAATTTACACTTATTTCAAAGAATGCATGACAATCAGCACATTTCTTGTATCGACAGTACACTCGCTGACACCATTCTCATTCCGTGATATCTACTATTATTTGTAATAGAGTGAAACCTCTCCACTGTACTACGTTCTGTTTAATGGTTTTCCATTCCATTATCACAATATTGTCATTTGGTTTTCGAGAATCGACAGCAACAGGAAACAACACAAGGAACGCGTTTGTCTGAACGGAAGAAAATGTGGCAGCTTCCTGCAGGCAGTGTGCACATGGCAGCTGGGCAGCTGTGTACTTACTTATGCTATCACTAAGAGGAAAGAATTGACCATTTGTTGTGAAAAGAACCAGATCCTTGTGTATTGAGAGATGTTCAACGATACCTAGTGCAGTCCTTTTCCCAACGATCGCATTAAAACGAAAATAATTTTCTCTCGGCCACAAGTCTTGTCGCGTTTTCACTCAACTTGTTCAGAACCTCGTGAATCTCAGAACACCTAGGTGTATCTAGGTATACCCTCCATACAATGTATAAAAAATTGACTGAGTAATTAGTTATATTTTTCTCTCTCATCAAATATTGTTTCAGTACAAATACACCTTGAAATCAATCTTACAGCTACTTTTAGCCTTCTCCGACATCTCAAGTAATCTCAGAAAAATAGGAAATATGTAAGGTCTGTAATTGTCGCGTTATGACAGAATAATCCTTTATCAGATAACGCCAAGGAAGACGTCGACCTCACTGCAAAGCTGACAAACGTTGAGAAATCCCTCATAGGAGGTGCATCTTATAAAGCATCTCATGTGCTGTGAGATACAAGCTACAGGTGCGTGCACATCCCACGCGGTTTGTGCAACAACTCACTCGCCCACTCCCCAACCCCACGCAACAACCCACGCCGTCGCCCTCTCGCGTCCGCGCTGTCGCCCACGCACTTAGTACCTCCGCTAAAGCTACAACTTAAAATCTCAGGCGTCGGAAACGTACCAATGGATTTTCAGAAACCGATATATAAACATGGCAATGTTTGTGGAGCCTCTTTAATACTTGGATTCGATTAGTTCCAGTCGGCTGACGACGCTTAGATTTCAAGGAGAACAATGTTTGTGGAGCAGAAAAGCCAGGAGCTTTGTCTGGGACACTTTATCACATTTGGACAATCGTCTCGACAACTTGTCTCAAGTTACAATTAGTCACCACGAAATACGGCGTACTCGCATGTCATATCCTTAACAACCATTTTATCACCTATTCTTATTTTAATTGAACAATATATCACAGAATTCATTGTTTCGGAATATCTGCATACGCAACCTCTCGGAAATTTCCGCATTACTTTAATGTAACACATTCAATACTTTACTTTAATATAACACATTTAATACAGTAAAATAATTATCATGGACGCACATTAAATTTAATGTACACATGCGTACATTAGGATGCAAGCGTCAAAGCGCTATGATCATATCTGGAATTAATGAATGATCTTGATGGATTGGTGTTATAATGAATACTTGACATGAATGATGAGAGGCATGGTAAACGGGAGATCCTCTACATTAAATCTCCACTGA